AGACTGTCTGTGAAAGATGCTCCAACAGTTTCATCTTCCACTGCTGCCACCGCTACTGCCCTTCAGGATTTTTTTTTTCCTCCCCACCATCATTGGAACTGTCAATTAACATCTGCTGGTGTGATCTTTAGTCCTGACAAAGGTAGTTGCATCTTAGTTTGCGGTCTTAGCTTTGAACATTCCTCCTTGGGTGACCTTGCTAGGAGTCCAGATCCATAGTAGAGTCTAGTCACCTTATGGTGTTGCTTTCAGTTTTCCTGATACACTTAGACTCCCTCACCAGTATAAAGTGTGCATCTTGGAGAGAGTGGGTGCTGGATGAAATAAAGCCAAGAAGAAGTGACTAAACTATCGTATTTGCAGCATATGAGAAGACATTTCACAAGTCACTATATGAGGGGACAGGATGATTGCGAGCCTTTTCTTAGAAATTCGCAGCGTGTACATTAAGATGCTTGTGGTTGGTTCCCCTAAGATGGAATTACTGAGCACTTTTTGATAAGTCACTGGTGCCAGGAAGTAAAGACACTGACCTCTGTCCTACTGTGTTGTTGCTTCCTTTTGACAATTAACACAATGTAATGTAATTATGGCTGCATATTGGAAATCAGAAAATTTATCTGGCAACTGGTGATAATGTTGAAAATGAAGAAATTTCTGCAGGTAATCTGTCAAATGCATTATTGAATCTTCCACAACGGAAATTAATGTGTGCCAAGTATGAGGATGACCAAAGCAGCATTCTCTTCCCGTCCACCCCATCTCCTTAAGTCTCTAACTCTCTCCCTTCCCATTTTCTTTCTTCACTTTCTCTGACTCTCACCTTTATGTGTCTCCCGCTCTGTTCCCCCTTCCTTCCTGCCAGACTTGTCTCTAGCCAGCATACTTTGTGTCCTTTGAGCCCACAGTGTGTTTCAGCACCTTCTCTCTGTTTTCTGTTCGGAACGCTGGGAAAGGGTCTCTCTCTTTCTTCATGCACAGGGAGCCGTATGAGTCATGTAGGAAAACAATGGAAAATCTCCCTTGTTTCACCTCATTGCTCTAGGAAGAGGGCATTTGGGGATGTGGCTGATCAGAAGAGGTGTCAAGTTAAAAGAGCAGAGCTGGAAGGCAAAATTCATTGCTCTTTTGCATAGAACCTGGATCATGACACCACAAAGCCATCATCAGATAATCCATACATGTAGTATGTGGCACCTTGCTAAATCAGACCAACAAATAATCAATTCACAGCAGTGGCCTTCAAGATCCCTCTTGAAAGCATCAACCAGGGTATATGGGCAAACACCCTGTGCTTTCTTACTTCTAGTTAATAACCACTATTCAGAGGTATTCTGCACCTAATACAGGGATTCAAGTTAATTGTCATGGGCAATTTATTTGCTGCCCTGCCTTTCCTAAATTTATCTAGAACCCTTTTAAAGTCATCTGAGACTGAAAGCAGACTTCATGTGCAGACTTCATGTGTCCCCCACTCAGTCTGTCTCTTACACTCCTTCTGTGAATCCATTTGACAAAATTAGTTTCAGGAGGCTGCATATTTAAATTGATAAAGGAATAGGGGGGCATGAAGAGAAGGATCTGCTAAATCTCTTATCTGCAAACTACTCAAACCATACAACTATTTGCATAAATGTCTGCATTTAGAATTTATTAGAGTTTTTTAAACTGTTCCATATCTATTTGATTCTAATAAAATATGGGATAATTAGCCTGTATGCTTTTTGGAGTATCATTGATGGTAATAGGTGGATTCAGTAAACTGTACAGTGACCCGTAATTTTAAAAATGCTAGCTGTTGCTATAATTAAGGATTTTTTAAGATATAAGATCATGCTGGGAAATTTTCTAGGAATCAAAATCAGTCACTTGATCTGTACAAAGAAATGAAACAATGCAGTACCTGTTAAGTTAAAAGTCAGTAACCTTTTTTTAGCTGTTAAGCAGGCTTCCCTCCTGCCTGCTTTCTGTGGGGTTTTCCCAACACATTTGGCTGTGTGATGTGCACGTGTACATCTCTTACGAATACAAAGGAATTTGTCAGAGATCGGAGTAACTTGTGCCTGAAGTTCCTAAAAATACAGATTTGGTGCCTGCAGGCAACAAGAAATTTGGATAAGAAATTAAATTGTATAAAGGCTGACTTCTGTTTGTACCATACATGTGTCTCCAAATCCTTGCCTGGAATGTCAGAGGGCTGCATATTTTCTATGCCTATTGTTTGTGCTTCAGTCAGGTGGTTGGCTGTTTGTCCTGAAAACCCACCCAAGCCATTAATTTTCTTTTTACAAGCTTTCCAAAATGTAAACCCCTTAAATAAGGAAACTGACAATGACCTCCCTTTACTGTGCACCTGGTGCAGCCAAAATCTGGAATCTGGTTGTAACCGTTGGCTGGCTGATGGGCTGCTCCAGATTAAATTTCTAATCAATCTGAAGAAGAAAGATGATTTGCCATGTCCTAGTGCTGCTGTTACTGCCTCTGCTTGGATGAATTTACTGAATCAAAATTAAACTTCATGCTTTCGTTTCCCCTTTCATGATGTCCCTGCAAATTGATGATTATGTTTTTCATGCTTATAAACTGTTGGCCTCTAATCACTTCGATTATTTACAGTGTGTACTGCTCTAAAACAAAAAGCAGCTTAGTTTTCTTTCAGAGCTGCTCAAAGTTGATCACAAACTCTGCACTGCCCTCTGCTGCTAATTTCAGAAAGTGGATATTTTAATTTATTTGTTTCATTCATACTGCCTACCAGGTTTGTTTGTAACTCTTGACACAGAGGGTATATCAAAGTGTAGTTGTGCTTTGAAGTGTATGTGAAGTACCATATTTTTCCATCTATAAGACCCTACTTTTTCCTAAAATCATTACCCTAAAAATTGAAGGGCATCTTTTACATGGAAGTAGGGAGAGATAGCTGAGGAGATAACAACATGCCCCATACCTTGCCTTTGTAAACAGGCTTCCTTCAGCCATGAGGCTTCGCTTCCTACAGTCAGGAGACTTAGCTTCCGCCAATCATGAGCCTTATGGAACTGACATTAGCTGATCCTCAACAAACCAATTGGAACACACCTCCTTGGAGGTGGCGCCTGTAGGCTCAAGATTCAACAGAGACAAAATGTCTGATGTTGTGAGCTCAGAGGCTGAATCCTCAAAGCTAAGTATTCTTAATTTGGGGGTTAGAAAATTGGGCGGGGATCTTATAAATGGGGTTGTTATAAATGGAAAAATACAGTAAATATTAATCTAAAATCACAGATGTTCTGTCTGATCATGTTTTTAGTGTACAGAATTGAATACAGTTTTAGCACAAAGGGAAATAATTGCAACAAAATGAACATTCTCTAAGAATGTAGATCTGCTTCAGTTGTTCTAAATCAGGGGTGTCCAACCTTTCACCTTCCCTGGGCCACATTAGAAGATAAAAAATTTGGTTTGGGCCGCACATACATTTGTTTTGGGCCGCATGGGGGGCAGCCCTAGCCGTCCTCTGCAGCCCCGCTCCAAGCGCTTACCGGCAGCTGCGATCTCAGACAGCAGAGGCTGCCAGCTTTGACTCCGATGGCTTTATGGGGCCGGGAGGGGGTCCACCTATTGACGGGGACGGCACAAAACAGTCACACAGGCCCCTGTCCCATCCCCTCCCACTCCTTCCTTCCCTCTCTCCCCCTCTACTGTTGTGACATGCCCTGGCCACATTCTGGCCACAAGCGCCGGCAGTGTAACTTGAAACTTTGGAATTTCTTTTAAAATAAAAAATTTCACTGAGCTGCATTACAAGCTGACCTGGGCCGCATGAGGCCCTCGGGCTGCGGGTTGGACAAGCCTGTTCTAAATGAACATGTTTTTTTCTTGATTTCTAAGCATTATTGCTGACCCCACTGGAAGCAATAATTAACCACCGCCACCCCTTTTCAGGAAAGTAAGTGGAAGAGTTAGGCAAACTGTTGCTCTCACGCTTCCTTATAAGCTTCTGTTACTTGTAAAATTGGGTTCGAATTAGCTTAAAAATATTTGGGAGTATTTCTGTACTACAAGCATTGCCTGGAAAGATTTGATTGTTGATATATAACTTAATAATAAATTGAGGTTTTTTTAAAAAAATTAAAACAAAGCTTCAGCATTTCCTCTTTCACGTAATATATTGTTTTTCCACTCTATTTCCTTCCCAGTATAATACACTACTTTCAGCATAAAGACAACTTCTTCATTCTCTCTGCTAGGAATTGGAAGTCAATACCTTCAGTGCATTTGTCATTTCCATATTGGTTGCCTTTCAAGTCCTCCTCATGTGTGAGAAGTGGAAATTGCCAAGTGTAAGATCTGGGATGTAGGGTTAGGGTTTGTAGGAGTTTAAAAAAATGGTAGAAACAACATTGGTAATTTCAGATATGCAGATGGCTCTGAAGCTCTAAGATGATGATTATTATATTTTCATGCTTATACTTTCTGTGTTTGCTGTTTCTAACTGTAATGCTAGATAATAAAAAGCCAACTGCTAATTTCCTTCATCGCCATACATTGACAATTCTCATGTTTCAAAGTGTTGCAGACTAAACTGCAGTGTTTTAAAAAAAGAGCAGAGATAAACAGCTGGCAATGAATGTGGTACCAAAGCTTGAAACTTGTTTGGAAGAAGTGTTCTTGTCAAGTGGACAACTGGGGCGGGGGGGGGGAGGCATTCTTTTGCTGCTCATTTCCCCCTTTGACCCCGGTAACTTTAACTCTTTTGTTCTCCATACATATTTTTCTACATCAGTCACAAGAAGCTTGTTTCAGAGCGTTCAGACTGTTGCTGAGCTAATGCCATTGTATAAGCATGGCTCGAGCTCCTGTAGGGTTGGACTTGCTAGCTTCAGTGTGCATTCATAAGAAAAGGAGTGAAGGTGGCTGTGGGGAGAGGGCATGCTTCAAATTTGGGTTACTGTAAATCCAGACGACTCCCATGGGGCATGAGACATTTGCCACAATCATGTTTCTCTTTTATGTCTTAGGTTCTCCCTTCATAAATCAAGTTCTGAAGAAAGTGCTGTAGGTCAGTATGCCTCATCTTTTTGTTTTCTGTTTTCTTTTTCTTATTCAGTGATGACACAATTTGTTGTGATGCTTTTTGCATTGGGGCGGAAACAAAGTTATTGGGCCTTTGGTATTTCTTTCTCACCTTAAGGAGTACTTTAGTGATTCCATTTCTTTAAAACATGATACCATTTTGCATTTTATCCAGTTTGGTGACTGCCTGCCAAGCAGACAGTGGTATGCAGTGGCTTTGCTCAATCACTGGAGTTAATTATTATGCAAGGCCTATTATTCTCCTAGTGCATAAAGAGTAACAGCAACCACAATGAGAAAATGAAATAGTGTAGTAGATTTTAACTTTGATTTTATCAAGGTATTCATGATTTGAACAAATGAATTTTTAAAAGTCTAGAAGAGTTGTTATAATTTTGTTTACATAAATGAAAATAAAAACTTTTTTTCAGCGTAACTTTCAATTGTTTCACTCAAACATCCTTTTCTTACATAATATATAACATGTTTAACAATATTGATATTGTTTCCAAGACTGAATAGATAAAAGGGCTGAAATGACAAAATGAAACTGGTATCTGTATATACACATGTTGTTGTTGTTTTAAAGAAATTTGTGTTCTTTCTTAGGTAAAGCAGACTGGAAGAAGAAGAATAAGTATTTCTGGCAAAACTTCAGAAAGAATCAGAAAGGACTAATGAGGCAGTCTTCAAAAGGTACATCTTTTTTATATTTCTGTTTTAATATTAATGATATATTAAGTTCAGAATGTGGCTTTATGTAGCTAATGGACCCTTAATTAGGATATATGTATGCAACTACAATAATTTAGCAAGGATGGCAGTATTCTGACAGTACACTTTTGTTCAGTGAGTTCTGCCTCAAAAAGAAAGTTGGATGGCTATTGCCTGAAGATACATACCTTCAAAAGCTGTGGAATTTAAAATAAATTCTGAGAGCTAAGATGTCTTATCTCTCTAACTTGTCCCATACTAAGCTAAAGTTCAGCACGGGATGAAGCTGTTTTAGTGTAGTTCTCATCCGTTCACAGAGGAGAATTAAAACAGTGCTGCACACTAACTGCTCTGTTTTGATTTTCTTATTGTGTAAACTGCAAATATGTTTAAAATTAAGATCTTAGGTTGAACTATTTAGTCCATTGAAAATCCTGCTGGCTTCAGTAGAATTTTCAATACATTTAGCATGTTAGATGTAATATTTTGGGGAATAATGCATGTTCTGAGTTCCAGGGTTGTTAAAAACTTTTGCTTTGTTATCTTTCTGTCTCTAAGATTTTGGCCTCATGCTTATTTGGCTTCTTTTAAAAATGCCATTGCCAGTACTGTCTCCTGATTTTTCACTCTTATGACTTATTTGGCAGCATAGAATTCAGATATATTTGTACTTCATTAAACCTAACTTGGAAGATTTAATTCAAGCTTCAGTGAAAACATTGTTATACACTTTCAATCCATGCTTGTGTTATGTTCTTTCGAATGTTTTAAAGATTTTCTGAGCTAACTAGTATCTATAATGGTGAGAAATAGTTAAAAATTGCCGCTCTGAGTAGACTTCGTCTAGGGGGGCGGGGTACAAATCCAATAAAAGTAAAAAAAGTAAAAGTAAAAAAAGAAAAAAGAAAAAAATCTTTTTTTCACAATGGGTGCTTCTTCAGTACCTGAAGACAGACCATCTTCACTGCATGTAGCTCTTAAAATATAAAGCAAGTGGCTCTTGAGTTGTATGGGGTATACTCCTACAATCTAGCAACATCGATACAGGGGAAAAAAACCTCTTTGTTAAATTATTTCTATAATATTGAATGATATATAGAGTAACTTACCTAGTATGCTGTACTCAATAGCTGTAGATATCAATTGGTATGACTAATCTCAGCATAATAGAGATAAAATTGCATATTATCCAATTTAGTCTGGACAATCTTTTGGGTAGTTTCTTGATGCAAGATGGACTGAATATGACCCATATTTAGCACGGTGATGCCAGGAAAATATGGTGCTATATAAAGCATATTTCCTAATCTCTAGTAGTTCTGATTGTCAAGGTCATGTGTGTAGGATCATCATTTTTTTCTACTTATCTCCAAGGTATTTGAAGTAGCTTACCTAAAAATACACATTAAAATATGGTTAAAACACTACTATTAAAATCCAGAAAGTGTGTACTACAAGCACAAGGGGGTAGGAAAGGCACCATATTATGTACAGAATGGTAGAATGAAACAATTGCATAACTGGAATAGATCCTCAAAGTCATATAGCCTAATCTCCTGCCAAAGCAGAGAATTCCCTGCTAAAGCACCTTTGACAGATGGTCATCTAGACTCTACTTAAAAACCTCCAACATAGAAAAGTCCACCACATTCGAATCATTTTTCCTCTGTGTTTTTGTTTTCTTACAAAAGACAAAAGAATAAGAAGTTGTCAGCTTAGCAGAGTTGTGAAATGAATGATACAATTTGGTTTATAATAGTATAGGGAACTTCATTAGAGATTGTCTAAAATGCTAAGCTGTAGAGTAACATTACTTTTTTTCTGTACCATTGTCATGCAGAGTTTCCAGGTGTAATGAATATATTTAGGTCATGCATTTTTTAAAAAGCTGTATTGATTTTAGAAAGCAAAATGGGTCACTGGTGGAAACGAATATTTTATCTCTGTTCTAATCCTCAGAGCTGGGGAAAGAAAGGGTTAGGGTTAGGCCCTAACAGTGTATTTTGCCACTGACATGCTTGTCTAGTTTCTCAAAATGTGAACAAAAATGCTGGTATGTTTCCCAGATTTTTTTTTAAAGGGCAATCTAAATAATTTAACCTAACATGGAAACCATATTTTAGAGGTGAGCACACCTGGAAGGTCATACTTTGATATACTTGATTTTCTGTTGTGTTCTGTTCTGAAAAAATCTGCTTTTTTCTTTCCTATCTGTCTTTAGGAGAGGATGTTGGCTATGTGGCAAGTGAAATTACAATGAGTGATGAAGAGCGGATCCAGCTAATGATGATGGTGAAGGAGAAAATGATCACTATTGAGGAAGCTCTTGCAAGGGTATGTGATGAGAATACTTGCCTTTCCAGCCCTCTTTGATCTTCTGTTGTGAGGTCATGCTCTGTGCTGGTGCCAAATGATAGGTCATTTTGCATTATGGAATCTTTTTAACCTTGGTATTTGGCTGCCATAATTACTGCAAACAATGCAGCAGAAGATGCTCTGAATAAGGGACAGTGGAGTGGAATGCATGACAAATATAGTGTTCATGTATACAATTGGTGTCCCCTCTGATTTGGTCCCATAGATTCTGCATGGAGGCAGTTTTGTGATTAAGTGCATGTAAAAAGTCTAGGAATCACTTTCACATTGCTTGTATGGTGGCAATAGAAAAGAAATAGGGAAAAAGAGGAAACAAAATATTGTGGCACTTTAAAGAAGTAGAAAAGCTCACTGAAAGAAAAATGTTACGTTACTTAAATGTTTCTTTTCTTTTCTTTGGCCAATATGCTGAGACAGGGTAATACAGCTGCCTCTTTGGAAATTACTTACATGGTATTCACTTGAGCACTATACTGCATTATAGCATAACTAGACATGAAAACCTAGCCGAGCATACTGATAAGATTATTGGTGATTCAGAAGTAAAGATTTAATGAATCCAGGCTTTTGAAGTTAAAGTGTGAAAAACTTGCTTCAAAGATAAATTCAAAACTTGTTCTACATTAATAATGTCAGCTGATTTGTATATTTGTAATCTATACCTAGAAAACCTTGCAAAGGGTTGTCATAAGACAGAATCGAATGGTGGCACATAGTTATTATTAATCCTTGCTAGATAATCAGAGATGTTTATTTTCATATCGCTATTTGTCTTTCTATTTATTCTACTTTTCTTGGTTCTTCCTGAACTTTCCAGACTACAAAACAATATTTTTCATAGCAATAGTGAACAATATGAGCAGAGTAGAGTTTGCTAGATCACTTTAACTCCACCGGTAATTATTTGTTGCATAAGGTTTAATACCTAATATACAACATATTTCTAGCAAATAAGAAAATCCATTATTTGCTGCTCTGTTATTTTTGTTTCAGCTTAAGGAATATGAGGCTCAACATCGACAGTCAGGAAGCATGGACTCTTCTGAATGGCCTGATAGTCCTTATCCAACTTTTGATGGTTCTTCCAATTGTAATGTAGGTATCAGTCTTTGTGTTGTGCCTAAATGTATGGTGTGGACATGTAAGGATTAATCCATAAAACAGTTTAAAGTAGAACAAGGAACATGGAAGGTACAGCTAAACACTGCCTCAGAGAAGGTGCCCCTCTTACCTGTTTCTAATGAAATTGGAAAGTCCATTCCATGTGACCTCAGTTATAACACTTAGTATTAAATGTAATGAATTGTTCTCAGTGAAAAATCAACTCTGTCAGATATTCTTTCACCACAGTTTGTTACAAACGGTATTGAATTCGGCTTCTGCAATCTACTGCAGGTTCTTCTCACACATCACCAGTTCAGCAGAAACCATTATTTATGTTTTCTTTGTAGATCCAAAACTGTTGTTGAAGATGATTCACCCAACTCAATGTTTTTATAAAACTACCTGGACATGTTAATTTCAAGAAATGATAACTTTCATCTCATAGGAAATCTATTGTGTGTGATTACTGTACTTTCATGCACATGGTTTGATTTTGTGAATTCAGCATCAAAAGTATTTTTTGGCATTTACAGTGTTTTGCCATAAGTTGGATTTTGATCATGACACGGTACAAGTTTACTTGCTGCTGTTTCCATGACAATGCCATGTGCCCAGTATTCCCATGGCTATAGCCATAGTTAAGCTTCCTTGAAAAGTTAAGCTTACTCTAACTGTGCTAAACATGATTGATTCTTTGTCAAATCCCATTTACATTTTCAGATTTCAACAAGGCTTACCTTTTCCATGCATCTTTTGGCTGTAGTTTTGTGTTTAGATAAAATTTATTCTCTTGTTAATTAGATCTTAACCTCCTCCACCCCTAAACACATGTCACATAGCTGTATATTGATTATTTAAAATATAGGTGAAAATCCTGTTTCCCAGCTCTACCTGTGCAATGCAAATGATGTCATTGGCAATTTCAGGGTGCACATGTCTCATACACAAGGCAGTGAAATCACATGGACCCCTAAAATCACCAAAGAAAGCCTTCCTGATGATGACTTAATTCCTCTTGCACAGATGGAGATGTGCAGCAGGATTTCAGACAGTGAGTTGTATAAAAAAAAGTGTCAGCCAGTGAAATAAACTCCATGGGCAAAATGATTATCTTTCCCCTTTGTATTCCCATATCCTACCCAAAAACAGCTTATAGGGTTGGGGAGCTTCCAAAGCACATTTATGGAGTAAAAGAGGGAACAGACAAAGGAAAAGACCCATTGAGTGAGCAAAAATCCACTCGTGTGACTTGGGAAAAAACTATAGTAATTTACAACAAACCTATTTATTTTGAAATGCTTCCTTAAAAGAATAATAGAGCAATTCTAAGCATATCTGCCAAGTTTAGGACTGCAGTATATGGTGTCTAAATAACGTGCTATAACACTGACTAATGCTAGAAGTCTTAACTCTGCAGAAATAACCTTCTCCAACGTGACGCTATAGAGGAAAGATGCTGCCCTTTATGTAGCTTTTAAAACAGTAGATAAATGTGGAATCTTTCAGTATACTATTTGTTTTTAAAATGCACATACAATGCATTTGTAGAGCATAACATATTAGGTACACAAAAGCATTGTTGACATGGGTCATGCTGAAAAGATTTAATTTTTATTGATCTTCCTCCTTCCTCTCAACCTCCTGTCATTTACACTTTTTCTAATGGCAAATTGAGATGTTCGATCTCTTGCTGAGCTAAAACACACAAAACAATTAGCAAAGGACAGGGTGCCATCTCCCCTGTGTCTATAGAGAGGCTGCCCTCTGGGAAAGATGCTGCCCTTTATGTAGCTTTTATGTAGCTTTTAGTCGTAATGATGTGAATTCTAGCTCAGTTTGGACCTTTCTATTTTCCTCTTCTGAATATTCCAAGCCAGCAGCTGTACTGGATTCATGCCAGATACATGCAGATTAACATTTAATCTTCTCCTTGTTGTGGGTCCAGTTCATACTGGAAGTATGCATTATTAAAGGCTTTACCATTCTAGTCATGTCTGTCTTTGTGATATGAAGTTCCTGTGTCAGACGTGCATAATTTTTTCCTCCTACCTTCATCCTTCTCCCCATCATCCCTCCCCATCCCCTGTCATTTCAAATGCATTAGATAGTTCTTTTAGCAAGAGTGGCTGCAGTTCTTGGGCCTTTTCAAAGGATTTTGTTGTCAACAGAGGTTATTTTGTAGAATTAAGATCTCCTCGATTTCTCAATGAGTGCTTATAGGTGTGTGTCTGAAAGGAGAACGGGTGTTTGAGAATGCAGCTACTGACTTTAAAGGTGGATTGGTAATATCAAAATTGACATCTTCATTGGCTTGCATGATAGAATAAGTGTCAGAAAACATTAGAAGACCAGCTAGTCTGTGAATCTAGCAGCTGGATTCCCCCTCTAGATCCAGACTAGACCTTGGGAAAACAGATTAAATTTAAGGTAGTAAAGTTAAATTTGTTGCCCCCCCAATCCAAATGGGCCAAATACTCGACTAGACCTTGGGAAAACAGATTAAATTTAAGGTAGTAAAGTTAAATTTGTTCCCCCCCCCCAATCCAAATGGGCCAAATGCCATCTGTAAATATAATATAATTAAGATAACATTGTAGAAGTATCATTAATAGCAGTGTATATTGTCCACATCATGCCTTTCCTGACTGCCAGGAAAAAAAATGTAGCTTTTGATTAAGAGTTAGTTGTGCATATCTTCACACATGTGTCACTGAATATAAAAAGATAGGTAAGAATATGGCTGTGTTTGTGTTTGTAACAAGGCACCTGTGTGCAAGCTTATATTTAGCTTTTGGGTGGCCAGGTATGTTGCTGACTTACTCATATTACATTTGGCTGTATCATTCAGAAAGCTTCCCTACTCCTGTAATAGTTTGTGGCTCGGGTTCAGGCCAAATGTGCTTTAATGGCTATCCCTTAGAAACTTCTACTTATGAGAAGGCCGTGTTCATTAACACACCCCCAGTTTGTCAGGTGGAAATGGGAAAAGCGAGGCTTGCCAGGAGGATTTGCAGAAACAAATTGGAAGCTTAAATTACATCTGTGCAGAGCCTGCCTAATTGACCTCCAAATCTGAGGCCATTGAAGAGAACGGCAAGACCTCGCAAGCAGTTCCTTCATTTCGTCTTAACACATTGCCAGGTACTTTCTCCCTCATTCCCCACATGTGACAGCTTCCTAATTCCTCACTTTATATTCAGTGGAAACTCCAGGCTTAACAAGTTCCCTGTGAGGAAAAGGCTGCAAATCAGCCAGCAGGGGATGCTGTAAAAGTAATGAATTTGCTGCACTCTGCTGTATCTCCCATGTTTGTGCAGGGGCACACCTCACCAAATCAAAGTCATCCTTATCTTCAAACTCTTGTGTCTCTTTGCTCTGCTGAGGAAACACTCTTCCTTAACCCAAGCCAAAGCTGAAGATGTAAAATGAGATTTCATTTGCTTGCCAGCAGTCATAGAGTTTTCCCTTTCCATTGTTTCTTACAATTGCTTCATTCATTTTCTTTATGAAAAATATTTTTTCTAGAAAGAAATGGCACTCATATCCTTTATTTTAAGCCACCTTGAATGAGGGAACTGTCTCAACCTCTTAGCAGTTTTGCCTCTTGTTTTTTCCATAAAACCTTAGGAACTGCTGACTGTTAAAGCCTGCACAATTTCTGTATATTTTTAATTACACATTTATGTGTTGCTGCAGGAACTGTCTTGGGGTCTAATGTCCTGCTGTACGCAGAGACATGTAATTCCAGTGACCATTTTGATTAGAGAAATGCACTTTGTATGGAAGCTGCAGACAGAGAACAAGAGAGTGTTTAACCCTTTCTCTTCCCAACACTTTTGTGCTCCAATGCCTTGTTCAAACTCACTGAACCTTGTTTAATGTTCCTATTCATAAACCAAGGGCTGAAGCTCTACTTCCTTTATGTATGTATCTTCTGAATTTAACAACATATTGCAGTCCTGTATATATTTACCTAAATATAAGTCCCATTGTACTCAGTGTATACATACATGTAAATATGTCCAGGATTGTGTTGCTTCTTTACATAATTAGAATTTAATATTTTCCTGAAAGCAAACCCATTAAACACAATGTGACAGACATCTAAACAAATGCAGATAGGATTGCATGAAGATAAATTAAGAATCATGTCAGTGAGATTCACATTTATTTATTTATTTAAAATATTTTTATTCAGCCTTTCTCCTTAAAAGGGGCCCAAGGCGGCTTGCAACATTAAAAGGACAGTATTTCAAAGCTAAGAACAGTAAATATAGAAATATTTTGTTAAAAATTAAACAAGAGTTGTATTAAAATGGTAAATAAAATCAATAGTAAAAACACATTTAAAAGCAATAAAACACCATAATCCAATTTGGAAAAAAAATCCTCTCAGACTACCAGTGATGAAAGAGAAGCCTGTCTGAAGAGAAAGGTCTTTGCCTGATTGCGGAAGGACAGAAAAGATGGCGCCAGCCTGGCCTCTCATGGGAGGGCATTCCACAGCAGCAAAGTCACCTGCAAATCTTTGCTACATCATTTGGGTAATTGTTAATTCCCATCTTTATATCCAGCTTACTAGACAAGACCATAAGACCCCTGAGTGGTGCTCATTATGCTAGTCCTTCCTCAGTTTTCTTAGGGAATTGAAGAAAAGAGCCCTCTTTTTCTGAAAAAGAGAGAGAATTAAATCTGCCTTTTAGGCCCTGGAAGAAAGGACTTCCAGAAGGTTGTTGTCACTCTTCTGTCAGAAACAGCAACGTTCTGGGAAGTCCAGAAAACTTGTGTTGCTTCTTTTACGTCTCTGTGTTGTACAAAGGCATCTCCATGAGGATATTGCCACAATGTTGATGAAGATCGTTTTTAGATTGTTGCAAGATTTCTAAAACCCACCCGTCATGTCACAGATAACATTTCTGTGTAAGTGTATATGCTAGTACATTGTTGCCTTCTGTGTTAACATGTTTATTCATATACATGGGAACTAAATC